CTCTATGTTTCAGTGTTCGTCAGTTTAAGACGCATCTTCACACCCAGTGTGTATTTTTAACCTCACAACAACCACGTGTCCTGAGCAGAGCTCATCCCTGTTTTACAGGTGAGGGAGCAGAGGGTCAGAGCGGTTCAGGAACTTACTCAAAGCCTTGTAGCCAGGGAGGTGGTGAGATGGGTTGGTCTCCCTCTACCGCTGAAGATAAAAACCTTGTGTGGGTGCCTTCTTGTCTTCCTAACATCAAGGTATCTGAAGACAGTGAGTGTGCACATTTATTAACAGCCGTGGCCCCTGGATGACCTTGGTGCGCACAGCACAGTGTACCTGCACCTCACTCCCTGCCCCTTAAAGGAGGACTGAATGCCAAGCCACTAGTAACTCCCTACTCACTGGCTTTCACCTTGGCACGTCCTTGGTGTTCTTTTTCTTTCAGTGTGCTCGGAACACCCTGTCATTCTCTCTTAATCCTGGCCTCCTCTCCAGGAGGGATCGGTGCTTTGATCAATGAAGGAGGAAATAGTTCAGCAGGCCAACCCTAGTAGAAACCAGAACAGACAGGTTTGTAGGGAAACCAGCACAAATCCAGTCTGTCCTGACTAGTGCTGCAATGGAGCTTGTCCCCATTGGGTCCTGGGAACCCCCTTAGCCTCAGATGCTGAGCTATCCCACTCCAGCCCCGGGAGCTCAAGGATGAATGAAGCCCAGTAGCTCACGTGGGATGAAATAGGGGGCCAGCCCTCATGATTTTAGAGGAAAGCTGTGTCTTCCAGAAGAATGGGCAGGGCTTTCACATCAAGCCATCACACATTTACTACAAACCAGCCCTGTGTAACCCAGAAAGGAGGATTATGCAAATAGATAAGCAATGATAAGGATGACAGAGTAAAATAAATGCTGCAAAAGACGCACCATCAAAAGACTATGGAGGGGAAGCTAAGATGCTGAAGAGAGATCTCATCTGGTTGGGATCATCTGAAAATATAATGTGGAACCAGTGGGGGTGGAGTTGTCCTGATTGGATGGAGGAGTTAGGAGAGAAAAGCATTCACATTGGAACAAGGGCCACAGGAGGCAGAAGGCAGCATAAGCTACAGTTCTGTGGGGATGACAGGTCTATACTCTTGAGAGGTGATGACAGTCATAGGGCATAGCGGGAAATGTATGTACCCCTTACATTTAGCCCAACAAACCGTTGCTACCACCAAACTATGTGGAGTTCTGAGCAGGAACACTGGTGAAGCAGGAAAAGGGAGGAAACCACCCTGCCCCCCGCCCCCACTGCTCTTGCCATGCTGTTCCTTCTTCCTCCCTATGAGAAGATTCTTCCAGTTTGCTTGCTCTAGGAGTTGGACTCTTAGTTCTGGGAAATTCAGACCCCCTTTCAAATGGCAGCTTTCCTGGCCAAACCAAGAAGGCTAATCATCATGTTAGTCACATGCTCCCTGCATGGACGGGGACTCAGAGAAAACAGCAGGGCCAACGCAACCTGTCCAGTTGGGGATTAGGCCCCAGAATGTCTAATAGAAACTCACTAAGTCACTGGAAAATACCGACAGGGATGGCTCTGGTATCTGCCTAATCCTTCCAGATGAGACAGGTTTTCTAAAAGCAGAATCATATTCCTTAGCTCACCACAGGTAGCACATACCAGCTGTTAGACAGAGGTAGAAATGAACCAAGTAGAGGTCAGCGATGAATTTCTCAGCAAATGTGTAAGAAGAAATCCAAGTGCAAAAATGGGTTTGTTGCTTTGAGATATTTCTGTTTTCTCCAAAGGAGAGTGAGCAGCGGACAAGAGCTATTATAGAGTCCCTGGCCTCGGTCTGTCCAGAGTAAAGTCACTCATTCATAACAACTCATTATGAACTTTATAAACTCACAAATGTACACATTCAGTTAAAGACTGCCAGTCCCAATCTCTCCTACCTCCTCATCTCCCTTAGACGGAACTATCCTCTCTGGTGAACCGCCCTCTACCCTATACACACAGGCACCTCATTTACCTCTCTCTGCTTCTGTGGACCCACAGCTATTCACAGCCCCAACCCCAGCCTCAGATCTGCCCTGGGCACATGGAAACACACACAGGCTTTGGAGGCAGGAAGACCTAAGTTCAAATCCAGGCCTTCCACTTTTCTCATTATATGGCCTTGGGTAGTTTACTTAACATCTCTGTACCTCAGTTTCTTCACCTGTAAATTGGATGTAATGATACCTACCTCATAGTCAAAGCATCTGGCTTGTTAATTCCCTAACTTACTTTCCCTTAGTTTCTAAACCTTTCTGGATGTTCTAAGCATATCACTCCCAGCTGGATGGTTCAGCTCCATCCCTTCTCCACTGCGTGGCCACTTCTCTGAGGATTTCTCAGTGTCCACACTTATGGGGCTCAGCCATACCACCTACCTCTCAGGACTGTCATTAGCATCTAACAAAATGAGATGGTACTGAAAGTCAAAGCCATTCAGATGATACTATTACAGTTGCTCTCTCTGGGACTTTCTCTGTCAGATTTGAAATTACTCCTCTGAGCCTTCACTGGTGTGTGGCTTAGTTGGTTGGGTGTCATCCTGTGCAAGGAAAGGTTGCCAGTTCGATTCCTGGTCAGGGCGCATGCCCGGGTTTCAGGCTTGACCTTTTTGTTTTTTGTTGTTGTTTTTTTTTTGTTTGTTTGTTTGTTTGTTTTGGGGGGGCATGCAGGAGGCAGTCAACCAATGTTCTGCTCTCACATCAATGCTTCTCTCTGTATATCTCTCTCCCTTCTGCTCTTGCTAAAAAAAAAAGTATTTTTTTCAATAAAAATCATTTTAAAAAAGTTTTCTCCTAGCCCCAGAAATGAGAGAGGGAGGGAGGGAGGGAGGGAGGGAGGGAGGGAGGGAGGGAGGGAGAGAGAGAGAGAGAGAGAGAGAGAGAGAGAGAGAGAGAGAGAGAGAGAAAGAAGAAAGAGGAAGAGGAGGAAGAGGAGAAGAAGAAAGAAGGAGGGAGGGAGAAAGGAAGGAAGGGAGGGAGGGAGGGAGGGAGGGAGGAAGGAAGGGAAATTTCTCCTCTTGTTCAACTCTGGCCTTAGCCCTATGTCTGAAATGAAGAAGGATCTCCACAAATATATGCTAGTTAGTTGACCAATTCAATTTCCTGTCTTTGCAATGAAGAAAAGCACATAATCATCTTAAGCTTTTTCTCCTACCATCTATAAAAAGCTATCTACCTATAGGATAATAGATGGAAGGTATTAACCTTCTTTGTTTTAGTCAAATATGAGACCCGACTATAGAGAAATGAGATTGGATTCCTTGCATGTCTCACAAACTAGGTATAAAAAACAATTCTAAAACAAGAATTCCAAGAATCCTCTAAATAATGACATCACCAGAAAAAACATGTATAGCTTCCCAAAGCCACCATTTTGATAATCCTCAACAGATGAGTATGTTCTTGGATGTTTGTAAAAAAAAAAAAAAAATCCCCATGACTCTGCAGTTACACAGAAATCAAGTATGGTCACCAGAACCCACCCATGCTGACCACATCTGTGCCCATCACATGGGACAGGAGCCTCCCTGTCATGAGAAGAAGACCCGGGAGAGATGAGGGCTGAGAGAGGGCTCCACACGTGCTAGGAGGGGTCGGATCCTTAGGCCAACACAGCCACGTGTCACAGGTGAAACGGGAGAAAGGTGGGGCTTGGCTGAGCCTTGGGTGAATCAAGCTTTTCAATGGGGTGGGGCATCTTGTCCAAACCCCAGTGCTAACTCAATTAAATCCCCTATATAAGGCTCCTGCCGCTGACCTGGTACTGCACACACCGCTTAGCAGCTACTTGCCTCACCCTGCCTGTGCATTAGGTAAGTGCCCTCCTGAGGAACCTCTTTCTCACTCTCAGTTCTTAGTGATCTGACCTCCTAAAACCAGTGCTGTGGGCAGAAAGTGTCCACTCTGACTGGGCCTCAGTCAACCAGTGCACAAGGGAAAGGACACTGTCCTCACTGCACTGGCCGGGCAACAGCGCCTCTCACTGGGAGACTGTGTTGGCAGCAGCAGGAAGACCTCCCACATGCCTTCCTGGGTCAGCTAAAGTCTCTTATTCTCTCTCTCTCTCTCTCTCTCTCTCTCTCTCTCTCTCTCTCTCTCTCTCTCTCTCTCTCTTAAATATATTTTTACTTATTTCAGAGAGGAAAGGAGAGGGAAAGACAGAAACATCAACAATAAGAGACAATCATTGATTGGCTGCCTACTGAGGATCGAACATGAGACTCATGATTTCCTGGTTCATAGGTCAATGCTCAACCACTGAGCCACACCAACCAGGGAGGTATCTTGTTCTTAAAGTTCTGGAAACTTCTTGGCAATGCTCAGGGTTTGTGAGACCAGAATCAGGTTATGGTACTTCTGCTAACCCAGACAATGGGGTTGAATCTTCTCAGGGAGCAATGGGCTCTGACCCCAGGGCAATACCTAGGCAAGATGGGTTTGTGGATTTATCCTAAGGGCTCTGAAGTGTAACTAAAAGGCCATCTCGATATTTTTTCTGCGTATAGGTCAGTAGTTGAGGTTGGCCATGTGGTTAAAAACAAAATCAAAAACAAAAAGCAGGATCTGTTCATGTCTCTATAGAAGTTCTATGTTCTGAATTTTTGGCTGCCAGATCGTAGAAAGGACACTTGCTGAAGAGCCTCAGGAGTGTGGGGGGGAGGAGGGATCTCCTTCCTTTTTCCCTCCCCTCTCTTGGCAGGCCCTCCTCTTCCTGAGCCCTGTCCCTTCCACCTCCTCAGTGCCCCTCCCCCACCACCTCCCTCTGCATCTGAACCCTGCCTCTCAGACACCATCTTCTCCTTGAGGCCTCCCTGAGGCTCCTGCTTCTGCATCTCCAGGTCTCTTTGCCTCTTGCCCATCCAGCCTCACCCAGAACCCACTTCCACCTGAGCCCACCCCCCTGGCTGATGAGAAAAAAATATCTCCCTTCAATTGGGGACCTTTCCTCACAGGCCACCGGGGTTATGGGCTTGAAGGAGCCACATACCTCTGAGCAGGCTGACAGGTCCCATCGCAAAGGACAGAGCTCAGACCCAGAGAAACCAGGACTCTCAGAACTGGCAGACTTTCAACCAGGAGAGCACCCCTCCTCAGCGGTCCCCACAGGTGGTGGCCCAGCCTCTTGCTGAACACCTTCCTAAAGGGTAGTGAGGAAGGGCAGAGTGGGGCCCTCAGGTTCCTGCCTGGCCCCTACCGGAGGCAGGAATTGACTCACATACGCACTTACTGCCGGCTGGTGCTCCCAGGAGGACTCTTACAGCCTGTGACAGGCAAAGACAGGCTGGACAGACTGTCCAGGGGGCAGGGTCTCCAAGGTCATTGCATTTGAGTTCAGGAGATGTGGGTTCTAGGATTTCTTGGTCCCTTACAAGCGGTGTGGCCTTGGGCAAATCAACTTCTCTGTCTGCTCCATCGCCTATAAAAGGTGTAGATAATAAGGATGATGCAGAGAGAGGGAGAGGGAGGATGCATATGAAAGTACTTAGTGAGCAGTAGACTATATAGAGACATATGCAAACATATGTGTATAATGATATTTAATAGGTGATATTTTGTATAAACCAGCATCTATCAAGGGCTTTAAATGAATTATCTCTCTTAATCTGCAAGCTAATCCTCTAAAGTAAATACTTGTATTGCCTTCATTGCATGGTGAGTAAACAAAGGCATTAGTTAGAGGCAAAGAAACCTGCCCTAGCTCCCCTGCCGGGTAGGTGGCAGCTGACTCAGGAGCCTGCCTCTAACCACCATTGCCCCTGAGTCCCCTCCATAAATACGTTGGGAAGGAAAGGAAGACAACAGAGACCAGAAGGAGAGCCCAAACATAGGGGAAGGACTTTGAAGCAGGAATGCTCCCAGGAAACCACTGGGGCTGATTATGGAGCCCCTGGGGCTTTCTTCTCTCTCCAGCTTGACTACCAAGATGCCTCAATTACTGCGAAACATCAATGGAATCATCGATGCCTTCCAACGCTATGCCAGGACGGAGGGCAACTGCATGGTGCTCACCCGGGGGGAGCTGAAAAGGCTCCTGGAGCAGGAGTTTGCTGACGTCATCGTGGTATGATGGGCCTAGCCAGATGGGGAAGGGCTCAGGGGAGAGCAAAGATGGTTTGTCTGCAGACCAGACCCTCTGCCCCAGGAATCAGAGGAGGCAGCTGCTAGATCCAAGCCCACAGGTCCTACTGGAGGCTGTGCAGGCAGAGAAGCAGGCGGGAACAGGGATAGCCACTGGAGTTGACAGGCCAGGTCCTTAGAGAAAACACCTTGACATCAGTGGATTCAAATTGGGAGATAAGGTGAAAAGACTCTAATGGGACAGCTCAGGGAGAGACCCAGCCTTGGAATATTCTAGAAATAAAAATAACTTCTGTACTTCTGCTGCTTCTTAAATCTGCTATGGTGAGTGATCATCTACTCTGTCTAGCAGAGATTTCATCATCCATTAATAAGCATTCATGAGAAGCCCAGCTCCGTGCCTTGTACAGAGCATTTGCTCAGAAACATTAGCTGAGTGCTCACATCAGCGATGAGTTTTGGGAGAGCAAATCAGACCCAGGTGCACCTCCCTGTCTCTTCCTGCCTTTCGCTCACAGCTAAAACACTCAGATGGTCAAGGTCTTGGGGACAGGGATATGTGGGTATATCAGGGTGCTGTTTTCACCTGCTCGGGGCAATCTATAGTGCCTGGGGATCCCCAACCCCCTAAGTTGGGGAAATACCTGAGCCTCAATAAGGATCTCACAGAATTCCCCAGGAGCCAGGATCCCTCCCTGTTTCTCTTGGTGAGAATGTGGCCTCCGTGCTGGGGCCCAGGGCCCGAGGACAGCCCAGTGAATCACCCCGCATGCAATCATTTATTCATTCTTCATGAAATCTTCGTTCACTTCTCCTGTGGGCCAGACATTATGCCAGACACAGAGGATACAAAATAAAAGGTGTTTCCTACCTATGAGGGAGCGAGACAGGACTGAGGAAGGAAAGTGATTTTGTGTTCATGTTGCTGTATGGGAAAGGGGATCGGGGCAGAGCAGGTAGGCTCCAGGCTCGGGGCTGGGGTTCTGGCAGTTGAGTGGGGAGGGCTGCTGACTTTGCCTGATCTTCTCCCCAGAAACCCCATGACCCGGCCACCGTGGATGAAGTCCTGCGCCTGCTGGATGAAGACCACTCAGGGACCGTAGAATTCAAGGAATTCCTGGTCTTGGTGTTCAAAGTCGCACAGGCCTGTTTTAAGACATTGAGTGAGGGTCCTGAGGGAGCTTGTGGATCTCAAGAGTCTGAAAACTCCACCCGTGGGGCCTCGGGGGAGCTGGGAAAAGGACAGAGAAGTGTCACAGAAGTAGGAGGCCTTGGGGAAGGACAGCATCACAAGGGGAGCAGTGGTGGCCAGGGCAGGCAGGCTTCCAGAGGGCAAGATGGGGCTGGGGCACACACCCAAGGACCGGACATCAGCTCTTCCCAGAGACAGGGGAGAGAGAGCCAGCAGACACAAGCAAGGGGGCACGTGGAGCCTAGCCAGAGAGTGGGAGAAGACCAGGGTCACATGACCAGCGAGTGGGTGCCGGAGAGACAGTCACAGACTAGAGAACAGAACAGAGCCCACCAGACACATGGGACTGTTAGTGGCACCGTAACTCAGACACAGACAGGTGCCACCCACACCATGGAGTGGGACGGGAGCCAGATGAGCCAGGTAGCCTCTAGAGGACACATTCAGATACCTACAGGGTCACACACCCAGACCACACAGCAGGACAGGAGCCGCCAGACAGGAAGCACTAGCACCCAGTCTACCTATGGCCAGACCAGAGGGACTGAGACCCACACTCAAGACTGGAGCCAGATGAGCCAGGTAGCCAATAGAGGACACGTGCAGATACCTACAGGGTCACACACGCAGCAGGACAGGAGCCATCAGACAGGAAGCACTAGCTCCCAGTCTACCCATGGCCAGACCAGAGGGACTGAGACCCACACTCAAGACTGGAGCCAGATGAGCCAGGTAGCCAATAGAGGACACGTGCAGATACCTACAGGGTCACACACGCAGCAGGACAGGAGCCATCAGACAGGAAGCACTAGCTCCCAGTCCACCCATGGCCAGACCAGAGGAACTGAGACCCAAACTCAAGACAAGAGCCAGATGAGCCAGGTAGCCACAGGAGGGCACACTCAGACACAGACAGGATCACACACGCAGCAGGACAGGAACCGCCAGACAGGAAGCACTAGCACCCAGTCCACCCATGGCCAGACCAGAGGAACTGAGACCCAAACTCAAGACAAGAGCCAGATGAGCCAGGTAGCCACAGGAGGGCACACTCAGACACAGACAGGGTCACACACCCAGACCGCACAGCAAGACAGGAACCAGACAGGGGCTAGAGAACAGGGACAGACCCTGACACAGTCAGGCTGCTCTGGGGCAGAAGAGAGAGTGCCAGGAGGTCAAGCCCAGGCTGGGGCCAGCACCTCGACAGGCAGGCAGGACGGCAGCAGCACTCACCCAGGGGGCAGTGTGACAGGAGGGCAGGGTGAAAGAGACCCCCCGAAGCTCAAGGAGGAGTGGGTTGATGACCCATCAAGAGAGCCAGTGATTGGAAGGCAGGACCAGGGCAGCCTGCACACCGCCCAGCCGGAAGGAAAGCCAGAGCTCACAGCCAGGGGGCTGTATTCCTACTTCACAGGCAACAAGCCATGAGTGTCCCTGCCCTGGCTCCCAGTGCCCAATGCCAGAAGACGTCAGCCGGAGAGGTGTTGGCTTGTGCTTCCCTGGCCAGTCTGGCTGGCATGTCCCTGGACATCAGATCTTAATCCTGGTGCCTCTCTCTTAGGCCTTTCTCAGTGAGGCCATTTCTGCAAGGTGCCTTCTCTCCTACACTCTTCTCTCTTGCTGCTTTGCTGTGCAGACCTTCTCAGCAGCAGGAAGATACAGAACAAGTTATCCCTTTCACCGAATGTTCCTCAGCTTGTGGAGTTTTCAGAACTACCTTTCTCTTTGCCCCCTGTCCACCACCCTATCTATCCTGGTGCATCAATAAAACCCATCTAAGCAGCTGGGCTCTGTGTCCCCTTCAATCACTATTGACGTAAGAGGCTAAGGGCCATGGGGCTGTGATGAGCTACACGTGGCCCCTACCCTTGAGGAGCATCCACTTGAGAAAATATTGCATGAGATTCCAAGAGTAGAAAGAGTCGAAGAGAGGCCCTAGATGGCTTGGCTCAGTGGATAGTGCGTCAACCTATGGACTGAAAGGTCCCAGGTTTAATTCCAGTCAAGGGCATATGCCCAGGTTTCGGGCTCGATCCCCAGTGAGGAGCATGCAGGAGGCAGCCGATCAATGATTCTCTCTCATCAATGATGTTTCTTTCTCTCTCTTCCTCTCCCTTCCTCTCTCAAATCAATTTTTTTAAAGAGTCAAAGAGAGGAGATATCATACTTTTATACGTGGCAGAGATGGATCAGGAAAGGTTTCAACTAGAAGAGGTTGCTTTTGTAATGCCCTTAAAGGACAAGTAGGAATTAGGTAGGTAAAGCTATTCTCAGTCCTTCATGACCTCTAATTCTGGAGTGTTAAGTCTCTGTTCACCTGTAAGGCCATCCAGGAAGGCTGACTTAAGGTTGCCAATAAGTGGAATAAGACTGCAAGGGCTGAGTTGGGATCAGGAAAGATGTATGTTATCAGGGACTTAGCCAGAAGCCCTGAACTCCCCTCTACCACATCCTCATTCACGCCAGCTCTGATGGTCATGATGCCTCACCCTCTGGATGAGGAACTATCGATATATTAAAGGGTCACAGCATTGGGAAGGTTGAGAACCACTGATATGAAGTTATGGCACAGAACCTTTCAACTCTGGTTTATTGTAAGAATCACCTCTGGAGTAGCTTTCAAAATACAGATTTTATTTTTGAAGGACAGACGGATAATCCTTCTGCATCATACCCAATACATTGAAATGTGTCTACAGACTACTTAAAAATATAATTTATTGCGGTATTTACTTAGTTGCAGTAGACTGGAACTGAATCCACCATGTCTGAGGTGTGCCTGCGTACTGCACTGCTGCCCCTGGTGGTGGTGAAGTTACTGCAGTGAATCTTCCTGCTGGAATGGGACGTGGTATCAGCCCAGGGAAGGCCACTGTGGCTTTGGGCAAGCAGCACCCGCAGGAAGTGGCCTTGAAATCTCAGTGTCGACCCACCACTGGCTGCTCCGAGCCACAGGGCTGATAGTGGCGGGAGAAGGGGTCACTATGGGTATGTTTGTTTTAGAGGTGCCCTTCACGGAGCCACTTCTGCTAACAAATGATCTCTCAGCATCTGGTTTGGGACAGGCCCTGCCTTGATGCCCTAGCAGAGCTAGATCTCTTGGCAGGCTTTGGCTCCAGTGAGCAGGTGCCCCCTGGTCTCACCTGGCAAAATTCGTTTCTGGAGCAGTCCCTGTGGAAAAGCAGGGAGGTAAACACCCCTCGGCTCTCCCTTCTCAAGACAGAAAACAGCAATCTGCACACCTCTCCTGGGGGTCCTGAGACCACCCCTTTGTCCTGGCCACTTACAAGAACACTGTGAATTCATCTCCCAGGACTGATGGATGCCAATCAGCTCTGTGAGAGCATTCTCAGTGCTCCCCATTTGTACATGAGCTACAAGTAGTAAATGATGGCTCTCTTCCCCTGTCCATTTAACAGGGGGGAAACTAAGAAAAAATAAACCAAATGGCTTTGATTCTATTGTCTGCCTGAGTGGTGAGTGGCTTCCTGAGGCACAAGGCCCAGTAACTAGGGAGGGGTTGAGGATTAGAGTGTGGGGCCTATTGAAACAGACAAGGCTGAAAGGGGCCCCGAATCTTACTGTAAAGTGCTAAACAGATAGCTCTGCCACAGAAGAGGCTCCTCATTCCTAGGAGCTGGGCAGTTTGGAGGCCCACAGCTCTGGGCAAAATGTGGAGAGTTCATTTGTTCTAGTGTATCTGAAAAAATGGACAAAATGGATACTAAGATAAAATGGAGCCAACAGTAAGAGGAATGCTTGGTGGAGAGGGGTCCTTGGGCCCATAGAGTAATGCCCACCTTTGGAAACCTCCACACTCCTTTCTAGAAAAGAAAATAAGCCAGTATGGCAACCAGACAGCCAGGTGCTGCTCTGGACCCAGGCTCTGTGTGGGCTTTGTGTAATTCTGTACTGAGTGGGCAGGAACTCAGTCAATGCGTGTCTTTAAATGTCCTAAATAAAGAAACATAAGTCTTCAATAGGGTAGTGAAGACTTGGGGTGGAGGAGTTGGGTGGAGGAGTGTAAAAGGGGGGGGGGGGGGAGGAAGGAGATATCTGTAATACTATCAACAATAAAAAAATGTATTTTAAATAAATAAAAAGAAAAATGTTTTTATTAAGAAAATTTAGTGTCAAATCATTATGTTTGTTATAAAGCAAAGAGATGAATACAATAAACACTAATACTCTTGACCCAAAATATCCATTGTTACTTAATTCCAGGCCCTCTTTTATATGCAAATTACCAATGTAATCATAGGTTCTCAACCTGCGGGGTCACAACCCCTTTGGGGGTCAAATGACCCTTCCACAGGGGTCGCCTAAGACATCCTGCATATCAGATTTTACATTACAATTCGTAACAGTAGCAACAAAAATAATTTTATGGTTGGGGGTCACCACAAATGAGGAACTGTATTAAAGGGTCGTGGCATTAGGAAGGTTGGGAACCACTGATGTAAAAATATATATGAAAAGTATGTCTATGATTAATGTGCCAATTACAGGGTGTGGCAAAAATAGGTTTACAGTTGTTTGTATGGGAAAATAATACAATAATTAATAAGTAATAATAACAGAATAAACTCTGTTTCAGGTACTCACAACTGTAAAGCTACTTTTGCCTCTATCTTCTATATGCAAATCGTATCTATAAGTTATACATTTTCAAACATATAAATTATACTTCTATGCAAACTATATTTATGTCTACACATATGTAAACATTACACAAACATGTATGGTTATGCAAGCATGTATGAATACACAAACATGTATGATTACGCAACCATGTATGATTATGCAAACATATTTCCATGAGATGTTCTCAGTGATTAAAAGCATCCCATGTCAGTGTTTAGGGACTAATGTTGCCAAGGTTCAAACCTCAGCTGTATACTTTACATGAGGTGTGCTCTTGCTCAAGGTACCTGTATTAGTTATCACACCTGAAAAGTGGAGAAAACAATGGTATTTCCTCACAGTGCTTATGAGGATAGAGAAATCCATATATATATATATATATATATATATATATATATATATATATATATATGTGTGTGTGTGTGTGTGTGTGTGTGTGTGTGTGTGTGTATGCCTGGCACATGGCATGATAAACATTAAAAATATGTTAAGAACAGAAGGAAGCATTCTTTAAGGTCAGCCATTTATAAAATGGAGGATGCTTGAATTAGGAGGACAGACACATGGTACTAAATCAGTCAGCCCAACCTTGACCCAGTATAGATGATTCTCAGGGGCCGGGCTTTCTCCCTATGAGGATAATTGCAGCTTTTAGCAGCTGCTCTGGGCCATGGCTCAACCATGGGGATTTCCAACTCAAAGAAAAACCTAAGGATTAGGACTGTCACAGCATTGTTTTAAATGTACCCATATAATACCCTCCCCCTTCTCTCTCAAGCCCCCGTACTGTGTATCAGGGCAAAATCAGTGTCTTACCGGCCCATCTCTCTCCCTCTATTATTAGGCTGTTACCTAAGAAGAGGGTAGGGAATATATCTCTAATTGGCTTCTTTTCCATAAGACTCATGCAGAGGAATGGAGGGCGGGTGTGTGGTTGGGGAGGGCCCAGTCATCATTAGTGCCTCAGCTATTGCATCTGACTTAGAGAAGGAGCCTTTAACAAGCTACAACAATCTGGGCCACAAGCAGAAAAATCAGGGGACTTTTTGGTTTTATGATATGGTTCATCATGCATCGTGACATACTCTTCATTTGGGTTCTTTTTTTTTCCCAAGGGAAAGTCACCATCTGCAGAGGCAAATTCCCATACTCAGGCTGAAAGCTACTTTATCTTTAATCCTTGTCCCAAATATAAACTATTGCTCCTAGTAAAAATTACTGGTATGTTACATGGTTATTTGTATATGACTTTACTGAGCACTAATTTTGTGATGGGTATATTATAAAATGAACCAGACCTTATCTCTTCATCAAGGAGCTCACACAAAATTATTAGATATAATGGAATATGGAAATGACCAAAGAATCCTAGCTCAGTGTGCAAAAGCCCACACCGCTGCAGAGGGCCCCCCTCAACTACCTTAGCCGTGGTATGATTCCAGGTGGTTCTACCACAGCGACCATCAACCCTGAAAATGGCTATTGGGGCCTCATTCTCTGATGCAGGGAGAGATGTGTTTGTAATGAAACTACTCACCATAGCTACAACCTCTCCCTCCCAAAGCACCCTCTGCCCTTTCATCAGGGATCTCTTCCACCACCTGCCACTTACAACAAACACGTAGCTGCTCTTGTAATGGGGAGGACTAAAATCCAGTTCCATTTTCCATGATACACCAGCCAGAAACTCATTGCTCTAATTACCATCTATTTTGTGATAATATCAGTAGCCATGCCTATTGTTGAAGTGTTTATTTGTTCTATGAGTGGATGTTGTAAAATCTAATTATACTGCCGTACCTACCATGAATGAAAGATTAAGTCACACCTTAACGTAACACAGGGCCTTATTTATCCCAAATTAAGCAGCAATGCCACAATTTGAGGTAAACCACAGATTTATGGTTTTCCACCCATGACCTGTTTTCTCTCACGTAACAGGTCTGGTCTTCTGCTTCCTCTCTAGAGTTTTGCCATCAGATTAAGATGCTGACGTCTCTGTTCCCCCACCCCCATCCTTATATAAGCACCTCACCTGGGTGGATGTGGGGCCTGTAGAGGCTATATTGTGATTTGTGGTATCTATTGAAATCAATCAAATCATCCAGTTCGGTGGCATGCCACAAGCGCTAAACC